GTAATTATTATTATTATTATTAAATATTATTAAACAACAGGCCAGTCATCAGTTCGTCAAGCGAACTCAAAGAAAAGTCGTTGCTTTTTTTAAAAATATATTATGCATTCCATGACTTTACCACAAATGTTTTTATTCAAGATAAAGTAATTTTTTATAGTCTCGAGTAGAATAAAACTTGTTCACGAAGTGAAGGCAATTCGAGTCAGAGACTCGTTGGAACTCTCAGTTTTGGAAGCTTTAAGAAGTGTGTTTAGGCTCTCTACTGGAAAGTACTATAATTCTTAAGACTGATTGCAGTAAGCGATATAAAACTGCGAACTCGCGAACATAGTATACAGATATGGTATATTTAAATATGTACGTTTGGGTACACTCCAAAGTTTTAGAATTAAAATAGCAGAATTTAGTAAATCAACAATTATAGCTTCCTGCATACTTACAAATTATAAAATTCGCCCTTTGCAGCATGTCAAATTCAACTGATTATTTTCAAGACTTTAATCATTTTTGAAGCGTGAACAAGTACTAGACAGGCGTATACGCCTGAATAACATTCATGTTTTTCTTATTTTGTCTTCCTCAGCATTTTATAATAATTTCATTACTCAAACTAAGATAATTAACTTTCTTATACATTAGTGAAATCGTAGCCAAAGCTTTAAATTCATATTTAATTGGACAACTATTTAAATTTCTCTTAAGTATTGTAAGCAAATTTATCTTTAAATATTTCATCAACATTTTCCTTAACTAAGCTAATTTGTTAAACATTTTGTTGCCTTTAATGAGCTTTAAGGTATATTTTTCTTATATATCTATAGACATCCTTTGTCTGCTCCGACTTGGAATAGCAGTTGCCAGGCTGTCAAGGAAACTGAACAGCAAATTCCTGCCTCAAACAGTGCCCATTCACGTGCAGCTTGTTGGCAATGCTTGAGGGCCAGTTGACACGGCGACAGGTGTGAGCAGCGGCCCTGTGAAAGGGTGTAGGTCAGGCTGGCTGACTGCCCGACTGTCTGCCTGTTGCACTTTTGCACATAATCATGTCACATAAAGCGCACGACAGCGAGCAGGATATGAGCGAGAAAAAGCAGCAGCAGCAGTTGAAGTTGAAGTAGCGGCAGCAACAGCGGCAGCAGCTAGCGGCAACTAGCACCCGCATCTTTTGTGCCTGGCTTTGGCCAGTTGACATGTGTCGCTTAACTTTAGATGGCTGCGGGGCCACTCGCACTTGTTTCCCTTTTTCAGCTTTTCATTGCACTGTTCGTTAGCACACGAAGAGAGTCTATTAGTCGTGAAAGGAACAAAATAATTTTTTTATAATTTTAAGTTTTCTGAGATATTTAAAGTCAAATAAAAATCTTTTGGTTGGTGAAATGAAACTTCGGCCTTCGAGCTACTTTCGCAGTTTAAATCGTTTCCAGTTTTGGTGCATTTCTATCTATCTTCATATTTGGGCATATTTATATCTATAATTTTCTCTACAAATTTATCTAAAGCTCCATCTACTTCTATCTATATATATATTTATTGTCTTTAATCTAATTTTCTAGCAATTCATGTATCTATATCTCATCCAAAACCCGTTCTTTCGCCCGCAAACAGAGTATCGCGCAGTCGATTGCAGTTGAGTGTAAATTGTTTACTTGCTTCAGTTTGGTTTTTATGCTCTGTTTGTTGTGCTTGTTGTGTGTGTTGTTTGTTGTGGGTTGACATTTTTTGTTGCTGCTGCTGCTGGCGTTGCCTTCTGTGCTCTTACAAAGGATATGAGCAAGCGATTGTCGGTCGCTGGCACCTGTACACGATGGGTGTTAAAATAACAGGCAGCGAACATATTGACTTTTAAAATAAGCATTATGGCGGTAAATTTTTATGAAAACCTTCAGCCTGTCACAGCCGTTTCCCCAAGCATTTCCCGGCCAGTTTCTGCCCGGTTGGCTCGTTGGACGCTTGGCTCGTTGTCAGACAGCTGAGTGATTTATATGTATTGTTTAATATTATTATGGCTGGCAGTTTGCAGGTAGCACGTGTCGGATGGCAGGTGCCGCCTGCCGCCTGCCGCCTGCCACCTGGCACCTGGCACCTGGCAGCAACAGTAGCATATTTGCCGCTTGCAGCAATCGCTCAGCCGCTCGTTCCGCCCGTCGCGATCGCTGTGCAAAATGCGAAAAATTGAGCACATTACAAGCAGCCGAGAATGTCCTTGCTCATGTGCCGCATCCGTGTCCATGTCCATGTCCATGTTCATGTCCATGTCCATGTCCGGGTCTGTGTCTGTGCCCATGTCCATGTCCATGTCCATGTGGTTGGCAATAATTGTTAAAGTGTGCGGTCTGTGAACGATGCGAATGATGTACCGATCTGACCCTCAACAAGCGCAGCTCAGCCTTTCAGAGCCCGTTGAGTGGCCATTGAGAAAGTTGATGCAGATGTTGATGTTGATGTTGCAACAAGCGAGACTTCAGTTAAGTCTTTAACTTGGACAGCAGATAATGGAATTTTTAATTATGACGCTTTCAATACGACCAACCTATCACAACTGAATACAAATGGTTAATGTATGCATTGCATATAAGTTGCACAGCCAGCATCACAAGCTGTTGAAAAGACGAACTACGCCTCGATTGAATAATAAATGGAATCATAACAGATGACAGGTTGACTCTCAAATTGTTTACAATTCTTGAAGAAAATAAAATATTTTAAAATATATTCTATATTTGTATACTAACAACTGTTATACTAACTACTCTTATACTATACTAACTACTGTCATTTTATACTATTTTCTATATCATATATTATATGAAATTAAATTATTTGGAATAAAAAAAAAGGCATAATTAAATGAAAAAAAAAATTATTAAATAAAATGGAACGAAATATTAAAATATTTTATATAAAATGATTAACTAAATTACATTTTTTTAACAACAATAAAGCTTTAAATTAAAAAAATCTCAGAAGAAGGAAATCTCAGAAAGGAATAAATTATTTTTATGTGAAAGAAATATGAAGGTTTTGTTATTATTATTATTTAAATAATTTCATAAAAATTAAAATAATTTTTAGTTGTAGCTGAAGACAACAAGTTCAAATGTCTCAAGCTGATAAACTCCAAACACACACACACACACACACCTATATAAACTGTAGGCTGTTACACAGCTAACAAATTTAGTTCTCACCTGCTTTAGCTTCCTCATCTCACCCTAAGCATAAAACCTAATCACATTTAGGTCTTGCTATGCCTTAACTCGACCCAATTACAGGCCGCATAATTTGCTCATTAAATCTATGCGACTGAATAAACAAGAACAAAGTCGCGGCAACAACAATAAAGGCAACACCAATAAAAGTTGACATATTTAACGTGCTTAATTAAATTGCAAATCGGCAGCAAAAATTTACATTTTGCTGGCGCATTTTAAAACAATTCATTTGATTACAATTTTTATTTTGTTACGTATATACATATAGAATAAAAATAAATGTACAGCCTTTGAAGCTGCTAAAGCGCAGGCCTTACAATAATTTTTTCTTTGTCGCATTTGCGTTTGTTGTAAAATAATGCAACAAAAAAGAGAAAAAAGCAGAAGCAAATTAATATTCAATAAAAAAAACGTGAGCCAGTAAAGTTGATTAAAAAATGTACAAAAAAATATACAAATAAAAATAAAAATATACATATATTTATATATATGTGTGTGTGTGTATATAAACACATACTTAAATGTTGATATATGCATTATAATTAATTTCAATTTTGCATTACGGCCACGCCACGCCCAACGGCCTTGATTGATTGCAATTTAAATGTGTTTGTTTGCTTTTTTGTCGTTCTGCGGTAAATATTAAGCGCAAGCCTAAAAGTATGCAATATTTTCTGTTGTGTTCAAATACGTAAAACAAATATAAATTAAAAAATAAAAGGGAAATTGCAAAAAAAAATGTTTTATTTTTGTAACTTTTGTTACCTTACGGTAAGCTGTGCTGTGTGCACAGGTGCTGAACGTGCGGCTCTTAATTACCTTTTGAGAGGGTTGTTGGCGGTGCCGAACTCAGTTGGAATGGGCCGAGGCGGGTTTATTTTTACAGCATAAATCGCGGCTTAACCACAGATTTTGTGCGCACAAATTAATATTTAATTTCACGTCTATAAGCGCCAGATAGAACAGGTAAGCTCGTGCTAGCACGCAAAGCTAATGAGTGCGTTACACGCTGTGTACGTATCACAAAAGCTGACTGCAAGGCTATTGAATATAGTACAAATAATCGTAGGACAAGTTATGTGCTATTTCATACATCTTGGCATGGAAAATGTGAAGGATTTCAACTTAAGCTACCCCTAATATACCCGTATAAATATATAAATAATTATATAGATCAGCTAATTAAGCTTCTCGAAAGGGAGTTGTTTTTCCTTACTAGATTCTTGAGTCTCCGAAGATTAGTTTACGTCTCACAGAAGTACAAATTTTAGAATAGTTCGAACTTTCCTTACGTTTTTACTTTATACTCCAACATCATTTAATTTAATTTATAATACATATATTTATAGATAAAGTATTTATCATATGCCAATTACACAAAACACCAGCTGAAACCAAGCTATCGCAATTTATGTTTATCGCTTGGCCAAGAGTGTTGCAATTGCTTAGCAACAATTAGACTCTGGACGCTAGATGGCGCTCGACACGTGGCCCACAAAAGGCGTTGATTATGCCCGATAAAATTCATTAGCTAAATACACAGTGGGCTGAGTGGAATAGTTAAGCATAAATTCAAGCATTTTAATAATGCAGACAACACAATTTGCGGTCGAGCTGAATACACAGGTGTAGCAGCAGCTAAATGAGATGTAATTGAGACGCTGTGGTTGAAATTTTTGCGTGTTTTGCGGTCTTAATTGGAAATACGAGTGTGGTTAGCAGAATGTTCTCAAGAGCAAAGTTCTTCAAGTCAAAATATCAAAATAAATATGCATAGGCTTTGAGTTTAGTGCTGTGGGTAAGTTTTCGTTAGCAGATCAGCTCAAGTTTGAAATTTAGTTTTTGAAATGAAATTTAAGTATCAAAGCAAACAACCCAAGCCTTTCAAAATAATTAAAAGTATTGCAAGATCTTTGGCTGCAGGTGAGTTGGAGTAAGGGCATTGAGTACTGTTAACAAAGTGATTATTTCAACGCTTTTGCAGCACTGACTAAGTCGTTTTTCTATCTGGGCAGCCCAGCACTGTGCACCGCACACCAGTTGGCTCTCGTGAGCAGCTTCCATCCGTATTATAGTATATCCTATTGGTCGCATTGTGGGCTCTGCTCGTATCGCAATGCTGGACGCGGTTCTGTTTGTGCTCTATGAGTTCTTTAAGTATGTCTTTCCGATACGCATACTCAATGAAATCGACGATTTGGTATTGCCCAGCGAGCGGGAGCGTAACGTCTGGTATGAAGCCTAAGGCCACATTTATTTTTCCTTATTTGATATGGCAACTAATTGATTGATGATGATGTTGTGTGGGAAGAGTTTCCAATAAAGCGCATTCCTTGAGCCTAAAGACCCGGACGCGTGCTTGTTGCCAAGGAAACTTGAGCCGTGGCTCGATTCGCTACGCTTTTTCGCTCAATTGTCACATAATTTTCGCATAAATTATCAAATAATTTAAAGCCCACCCCATGCCACCCATGCCACCCATGCCGAGTACCAGGCAACCCGAGAATTGCTTAGGTAACCAGCGCGAGCAATGAGCATCAAATCAAATTTATTGCCTTGGCTTATGCTCAAGTATCAGAGGGAGCTGATACTGCTAGGTGGGTGGGTGCTGCTGCTGGCGGTGGGGCTAGGACATACTATCGGGCAATTGAGTGAGCGTTGAGTTGGCTGTAATTGCGTATTAAAATTATACACCAGGGACCATTTGTTTAATGAAATGTTGCGATGTCTGTAAGCTAATTAGCTTGCCCTAGTCAAGTATATTCCTATTTATGCAAAGTAACAAGCTCCCTCAACTAGTTAATGATGATGATGCTGGTGATGATGAGCATAATGATAATGAGAGCGGGTAGTTAAGCTTTTCATTTGCCGCATGATGGGTTCTATGCGGTAAACGTGTTCAACATGAGTCGTAATAGCCAGCGAAGGCATATTAAATACCTGCTCGCGGCTTAACTATGGGAACGAGTGCAAAAAAATAAGAATAGATTTTGTTTATGCAAAGTTAATGCAGCATGAGAGTGAGCGAACTATTGGAAATTTAATTAATTACTCAGCGAAGAATTTCATTGATTTTCTATCAATTCCTGATAATTAAAATATGGAATTTTAGCTGGATAACTTTTGAATATTTGCTTTATACAGATGGCTTAATAAGAGAATATTTAAGAAACTTTATCAGTTGTATTCATATACATATGCAGACACATCACAAATTTCTTCAATATTATCCACTCTGAAGCCAATATATATCCTTGTGATGTTAGAGAACTGACACCTGTCTTTAAGGCACATGCTTTATCAATGTTATATAAATTGGTTTCAAGTTGATTTAGAAAATTGAGAAGATGCTAAAATACATATGTAATATATTTTGATTTTGTGGCCACACACAATTGAGCTAAAAAGCTAATTTAAGATGTGCTTCAATATAATGTTCATCCGCAGCCGTCATATTCACTCGACATTGACCTTTTCAACTGCGTTTGTTTCGGTCGACGGCTCATGATCTGGGTAAACAGCACTTGCTTAAAATGACATTAAGTTAATTGATATTTGAAGTGCCTTTAAACAGAAAGAATACATTTTTGAATGTCTGCATGTTGCTTGGAGAATGTGGAAAATTTAAATATGGGCAAAACTTTAAATAAGTAATAATTGTAATAATAAATAAATAATAGTATTTGATAATTTATTAATTTATTATTATTATTATTATTATTATTATTATTATTATTATTATTATTATTATTATTATTATTATTATTATTATTATTATTAATTATAAATATATATATATTCACTTTGTTTTTCCGGCAAAATACTGTAGCAATTCTACTGATAATATATGTTTAGATTCTAGATAAAAATTGAGAACTCTGCATCATGTTTACATACATTGTTTATATGAGAAAAGATTGAATAAATAAACTAATCAGCAAAGGTTAATCATATTCTAGGCATGTCACTACAGCAGTTCACATTGTTTCTATTATATAAAGTATACTATATGTAACTATATAAATTTTTAGCATAGTTCAAAGTTTGCTATGAGTTCGTCTTAACCAGCTGCTGTCTGCTCAGTAAGCAATCGTCAATGGCCAATCGTATGGCGTTTGGCTCAAAGGCAATTTGTTTTGCTGCCTTTTTCGTAACACCCACGCACACACACACGCGCAGACGCTCACAGAGTCACATAGTTGTTGTTCGGTTTTCAGTTTCCGGGCAGCCTTGGCGCTTTGCTTTCCTTTCAGCTTGTCCTTTTCTCGAACTAATCTATTTGTGTTTGTTTAACTTTGCAACGATTAAGTTGACTCGCTGTCGTGTGTTGCTCTGTTGTTGTTTGGCTGCGTATTACGTGACGGGTTGTCATTTGTGCCCTGCAAATTGTTTTTTCTGCTTCTTGTGTTTATTTGGCGCTGTGGACTTTGACATAGGTGTTGCGCATAACTGTGACTGACAGCCGAGTCGCTTCGGCTTGCTGCTCCCACGATAATCTCATTCTTTGCAGCTCTGCATAACAATCTATCTATTATACTCTTATATATATAGATATATATTTATTCGCTTAAGTAGCCTGGTCAATTATGAGACAATTTCATGCTACTTCTAGGCATCCATTAATGCCGTAAATTGGACTGTACAGCAGCTTTATCTATACGCGCTCAACTAATAACTTCTAGTTGCGTGGACAGCGACCCAATTCGACATTGTGAGCTTTAATTAATACGCCTGACCGAGCACAGACCTCTAATTCCCCCAGCCCGACTAACTATCTTTAGCTTCTCTTCTATGTTCTGATTAAACGCTTACTTATCCAGATTAGTGTGTGTGTGTGTGTGTGTGTGGGTGGCTATTTGTGTGTGTGAGTGTGTCTGCGGGCGTCCTTTCGTTGGCATCGAGTCGAGATTTGTTAATTATACACGTTATAATTAATGTGAGCTCAGTTCCTATATACACTATGGCCAATTCATGTCGTTCTCTTTCCATATCTCTCTTTCTGGCTAATTGTCAATAAATTTGCGTTCTCAAAATATCATTTTCAAGTTGCGAACGTCTCCAGCTTCAATGCTGCATCATACCCCAATTAAGCTGTCATGCTGGCTGTCAGTTGTGCTTAATGCTTAAATGAAATCTAATCACGTTCTAATTTCAGTTAAGTTTGACAGCAATTTGTGTGCGACGAGTGAGCGACAGCGAGACGAAGCGGGGCAGAGATAAGAGGTCAGCCTCTTGGCCCTTGCAATCCATTTGCCGCCCTGTTTGTCGCTTTGCTTGTATTTCATTTCCGGCCATTTAAGTGTGAAGCTGTTTAGTTCTTTTCAACTTGGCCAAAAGCCAGCTAAAAATTTGCATTCATTTGCAGACATTGAGCGCGCGAGAGATACTAGAAATGGGTCTCACTTCAGTTTAAGTGAGCCGGAAATGTTAAGCAGCTAATGAAACGAGGCACAAGCGAGGGTTCAAAGGCAATGCTCGATTAAAGTTGTCTAAGAAGAATGTTTTTATTAAACTTATATGAGTTCTTTAGCTGACGCTCATGAATCTAAGACGACATAACATGATTCAACAGCACTAAAGTGACTTGATATCAACTAACTATAAACAGGAATTCACTTTGTTAGTTCCAAATGCAACTCAACATAGATATACATATATTTATAAGCCCTAAAGTTTGATAGACAGTTAAAATCAAACGGATGTCTGCCCAACAGATGTCTGATAACTTTTGTAAATTAAGCGAAAAACTTTGTTTCATTTTCAATTAAACAAACTGTTTTCCAAAAACGAAGCTAATTAGTGCGCCAATTGAATGGATCAACAAGAGTTGAATGCAAAAAACTTTGTTGTTGCTGCTGCTGCTGCAAAATAGTTGCAAACTGCATCAATGCAAAGCTCCAAGGACCTGCCACCGCACTCTCCGCGCAGCCAAAGGGAGAGCTACCTCCAAATGCTCAAATGCGCGCAAATTAAGCAATTAGAGGCAGTTAGTGGAGTCCTGCAGGCCAAAGAAATGAGATTAACGGAACCCGGAGGACATTCAACGATCTAATTGCCACACACACACATACACACGCAAATATCATCGCACTTAGTGGCAGCAATTGCGGCATATAAATTGAATTTATGCGCCCATTTCAATTGTTCGTTTTTTTCGACTGCTTTTTGGCACATTGCTTATTGATTATTTTTACTAATTTATGTTGCTAATAAAATTGTCAATTTGTATGCGTGCAGTGTGCCTCGTCCTCTCTCTCTCTTCCTTTCAGTGTGTGCCTCTCCCCTTTCGCTGGGGCGTGGCTGACAAAACCATTAGACTTAAGTGTCTGACTGAGGGTCCTGCCTGGATACACTCTGCTTTGCTCTATTCCTGCCCAGAGGGCACAATGCCAACGGCTTTCGCAAATTGACGCTGCAGGACATTTCTGGTAATGATGATATTTTTTCTCTCGGTCTCCCTTACTCTCTGTCGCTCTATAGGTTTTTCTTCAAGTGAAAAGCAGTGAAGCGTTGGCCATTCGCCTCGATTTCTCTGTGCGTGCAGCTTATTAGGCCGCATTGAAGTTTAAGCAGTGCCTTAAGGATTTCAGCTCTGGCTTTTCTGGCAATTGGTTAAAGGCGTTACGCAGCCATCGACACAGATTCCGCTTGCCAAAAAGCTAAAAAGTGAGCTTACGACAGCAAGTGAATTGTATTATTGTTAAGCTTTCAACTCTATTTTTGTGAGCAACTCTGTTTTTCGACTTAAAGTTTAGTCTTTGTTTTTATTACTCATTCATTTAACTTAACTTTCATTGAGAGTGGACTGGAAGTAAACTTCTTATATAGTGGATATTTTTTCAATGTTTTAAAGGACGTAAACATTTGGTTTCATGATTTATTTGTAATTTAAATAGTGAAGAATTAATTTATAATTAACATAAGTATGGATTTTTATGTTTACTTTTTTAAATTTTATATTAGACCACAAGTCTACTGCATTCTATGTTTTTGGTCTGTTTTAGATCCGTAGCTCGAATTCTCTTTTAGTCAGCTGAGCAACTCACTTGACCTTGAATGGAGTATGAAATCGTATGGAGTATTAAATCATTAAAATGCAAGTCTGCAAATCATTTAAAAATATCTTTAAGATATTTTAAAAAATGGATTTGGAATAAATATTCAATCAATAATCAATAATTAATCGAAAATCAATAATCAATAAATATGCTCCTATGTCAGACTGGCTCTCATTCCTATTTAATTTGAAAATATGGCATGACACATTCACCTAACATTCTCTGAAGTAATTAAGACACCCAATAGAAGATATGCCCAAAGGCATTTACATAAACGGATTAGTCCAT